TTTCAAACTGATTTTCATTTTTTTTTATAAAATGGTTGCCATCAGTCAATTTTGTTAAAAAAAAAAAAAAAAAATTTTAACGAAAATTCCGGACGTGCTTGGAACGATTAAAAAAATGTAAAAGAATACGCCAAAAATACTTTGATCAGGAAAGATCAAAGTATTTTTGGCGTATTCTTAGTAATAACAAAAATTTAGACGATAAAATTTTGTTTCCGTCAAGTTTGGAGTCTTTTTCATCATGCTTTGCTCTTTTTTTTTTTTTTTTTAGCGATCTCGTGGAGATCGCTAATATAGTGCAACCAGTAGCGAATATGTATGATTTATCTTAAATTTCCCAGTCTATTTTGCGATCCCTACATTTTGCGTTAAAAATTGATTATCAAACTAGAACTAGAGTATATAATGTATTTTTATTTTTTGGAAATGAGGAAATGGTTACGATACCCCGTTCTGTTGAGAAAGAGCCGATCTATGGCCTAACAAGCAGATTCTCCATCGTAATTTTTTTCGTGAGTGATGCCTTAGATCAGGAGTGGCTAGCCTTTTGATTCCATACGCCAATATTTTGTACGATTAATTTAAATGCGCCACACAAACATCCACTTCCTTTTAGTACGTGTTGTAATATGGACATATTTTAAAGTTATAATAAAATCTATTTATTTGAAAAATATATGCTTATGACAAGGGGCGTATCCTTTTAGCACTTTCGCAAAGGACGTGCAATAAATATAAAATCACTGAAATGAATGAGTAGAAGTGGCTTAGTTTCTTTTCATCAAAAGGATCCAATGCGCCACTTATTAGGTTGGCCATCCTTGCCTTAGATATCTGAAAGTTGCTGGCTAAAAAAATTAATCATCAACTTTACTTACCAGGCATAGCCCCAATCCCCCGTAATTTTGGGCTATTTCTAAAATTAAAAAAATACCCAGAAAGGACAGATTTGCGGACATAAAAATGTCTTCCGGAAACGAGTTCCAAGAATATTTCCAGCAATGGCACAATCGGCTAACAAAATTCATAGAGTCACAAGCGGGGTAATTTGTCAATGACAGCAGCCTATAATGACCTAGTGAATAAAATTGTTTACATAGTTTTAATTCTAAACATGACCCTGCCACACATCGAAAGGATCCGAATGTGGTGCTCATCATAAGTAAGTGGAAAAAAGGATAATAATAATAATCTACACGATGCACCCCTCCAAAAATTGTATCCCTGAAAATAAAACATTATATAACAAACAAACAATAAAAAAACAAAAAAAAACATGAATAAAATACGAAGTTTATGCACAATGAAGTAACATCATTCCGGGTCTCGTATTGTCCAAAGAAATTCATGGCAGTACGCGAAAAAGAGGTGTATGTGTGTGTGTGTGTGTGGGGGGGGTTTAAATGAAAAGCCCATGGTGAGATGTTACGATCTAAACTGTTGTTTATAATATAATGGACACTGTGTAGATTTGCAATTCTAAATCGAATTTGCACGTTCGTGAAATCTAATTCCAGTACATGGAAATTTATGCCTCCCATGAAGAATCAGCATTTCTAGATTAAAAAACAAAAAAAAAAACCTTGTATTGAAACCATGTTCCTGACAATTCCATTGTAAAACTAACCTTGAAATCAGACAATTGGAATATATTTGTTATATAAAAATTAAAGAAAACGTACAAGAATTTCAGAGTTGAATTAAAATATTCTTTATTAAAATATTAAAAAAAAAATCTGTGCCTTAGACAAAATTAAGAAAATAATGTTGTGCCAATTCCACATAATAACATTAAATTCATTTTATTTCTATCAAGACTACGAATTTCACAGCATGATCGAAATGAATTAACGTAACAAGGGAATTCATGTAACAACTAGATTACCCCATCAACTTAAAATTAAAAATCTATAAAACTATAAATTAAAAAAGTTATAATTTATTTTAAAGACGAGGTCAGGGTAATTTCACAAATACCTGGTTTCGTGACGGAAACACTGACGAGGAATTTCTTTACGTTTACGACTAGAATTATTAGTTTAAACGAACATAGGCAGGCGAGGAAAAGTGTTTTAATAGCAACAATCCTAAAGGAATTTGTCGAACATTTGAACCATAGACAGCATGTATATTCAAAAGCTTGTGAATTTGAGATTTTAGCAGGTTTACTATGGTGATATGTATGGTATGAGTCTATCTAAGGTCAACACATTTCAAATAGGCCCATCATAAGACTTGTGATATTACGGAGTGTCTTATTCCCTTTTATAAATAGGTACATTATCACAAGTGGAATGTAAAATAACACCCACCCACACAAATACAAAAATAATATTGTATGAAAGTACCATACAATTTAACATGTTTTTCATTGTTATTGTGTATATTTGTTTGTACTGTTTTTTTCTTCGTGAACACAAGCCCAAATTTATGACTCCTATGCTGTGAAGGAATACCTCCATAAATTCTCGAGCATGCAAAAAAATAAACGTTTCAAAATGTCGGTTTTTTTCCTTGACACAGCTATTATTTAATAATCTTCACTACTCGATAAGGTACGTTTCAAAAGATGATTATTAGAATTTTAATAAAAGCTAAACATATGAAAGTGAATTTATACATTTGCTTTGTTCATGAGAATTAAAAAATTTTTTTTAAAAAGAACTATTATGCTATTTATTAAAAATGATTGGCAAAACACCTAATTGCCAGTTGATTCGAGCTTTATAAAATGGTAAATAGTAAGGATTTCATTATAGTTGCTTTATATATTTTCATAACTTAGTAAATGTTTATAAATAAAATAAATATATATTTATTTCATTATAAATTTGTAAATGATAAATATTACGTTAGTTTGAATGCAATTGTCTTAGTTTTTAAAATGTTGTATATATAAAATTAGGTAAAATTACTCCTGTAAATAAATGCTAATAATGTTTAATATTTCTATTGTAAAACCTCAAGAATAAAAACATGTATAGATTTGCTTTCATTATATATTTCGATTTGATTCGCTGATTGGTTGTTTAGTGACATAACCTTTATGCGTTATTTAATGACGAAATCTAAATATTTTGAGCATAATTGTATGCTTTCAACAATAAGGTATTAAAATGGTCATTTTGCTCATGGTGGAGTAACGAATAGCGGCTCGGGTTGGGGAATCAGAAAGCCGGGTTCGAATTGCAGTCGAATCAGTTATATTCACTTACGTGCTAATACACTTCGGAAAGGTATGGATCCTCTTCTCCCCACAACTGTGGGTAAATAGCAGATCAAACCGGGTTCTGTAGACTTGGATGGCAACTAATCTACAGTAGAAAGAAATGGCAACCTACTGTCGGAAAAAATCTGCCTCGTCAGTCATGTACCGAAAGATACATGATCACCTAAGTGTGTATCACGCATGGCACATAACTGAATGAGAAATACTATTATGAATAGGTATTGTTGGTAATTTTTGTTATAAGTGTGTGTTCCAATTTTAAATGTGAATTAAGTTTAAGCGTCTAATGATTTTTTTTCTTTCAGATTTAACAACTTAAGTCTGTTAATCTTTCCATGGTCGAAATTGCCAATCAAACAACGTGTTAAAGTTATTGAAGCCTATTACGAAAATGGAACATAAGTGCAATGAGAAGTTCCCAGGTTGCATCATCTCTCGAAACAGCAAAGTTAATTGGCCACCACGATCGTGCGACTTGACCCCTTTAGATTTCTTCCTTTGGTGTTATGTCAAACAACAATTCAATAGCTGAAGCATGAGATACTAAGTCATATTTGGTGTGACCGAGGAGTAACTATACAGAGAATTTTGACCATCGTGTGAAGGTGTGCCGCCGAAGCCTTGAGCCATATTAATTTTTTTTTTTTTTTTACCCATAATTGCCAGGACTTAAATAACATGATGCAATAGAGAAATAAATTTTCACCAAAAGCACCGATTTATTTACTGCTGATTTTGATCCGTCTTAATGAAACACCCTTTATAAAATGTATTACTGTTTTTTTTTTTTTTTTTTTTATAAAATTTATTTTTATAGAGTTTATTTATAAATGGGAATTCACTATTTGCCCATAGCAACCAGGGTCAGGGTGGACCTGGGAAGCAAGTGGTTCTTTCACGCTCTTCAAACTTTCCAATTTCCTGATTAGAGCCCCTGCTGCCGGATGTAGTTTATCTTCATGCTCAGAAGTAGAGATTTTATTAAAATTCTAATCATTGTTAAAAAGAAAAAAAAGAAAAAAAGAAAAAAAAAAATCACTTTTATAGTTAAAATACTAGCGGCGTCAAAAGAAAACCGTCCTTTACAGTTTTTTTTTTTTTTCGGGGTCGAAGGATTAAAACTTCCAATCAATTATTCTTCGAAGCATAGCGAGAGTTTACGTTATTTGGTAAAATATGTGATTTCTAAAACTCCATCAGACAAGAATAAATGGCAGTGAAGAGTCAGTACATTAAAATTAAGGAAAGAGACATAATTCGAAAATAAAATCGAAGATATTCTGTAAACCATTCAGTAATTCATGTATGTTGAGTTATGCGCCATATTTGTTTGTTAGCCGTAGGACTCGACGTTGGTCGAAACGCGAAGAGTTCTCTGAGGAAACGTTTATCGTCGGTTGGCCAAAAATTTCGTTTGGTTTATTTCATGGAAACGTTACTTAAAAATCATAAACGAACTTTATGGTCAAACCAATCTTTATTTTATAAATGCATTGGCGTACTATTGTTTTATTGCATAGAGATTTATCGTTTTTTTCTTACATATTAAATGATTTCTGCAGGTGGAATCTTTAAAATTGTTAACGTATACGCGATATAGGATAGTGACAGTATCTCCATGGCTTGAAACGAACCGGCAGGCGAGTTTTTTGTTCCATTTATAATTCTAAGAAGGTATTGCATGCCGAAGAAGAAAAAAAAAAAAAAAAACGAAAATCTGACGAGAGTGAAACGTGAGCAACGAGGATGAGAGTAAAAGGATTTCCTTGAATTATACTATTAAAATTGAGCAGAGAGAGAGAAGAGGAAGAGAGAGAAGAAGGAAGAGAAGAGAAGAGAAGAAGAGAAGAGGAGAGAGAAGAGAGAAAGAGGAGAGAGAGAGAAGAGGAGAAGAGGAAGAGAGAGAAGAGGAGAAGAGGAAGAGAGAGAAGAGGAGAAGAGGAAGAGAGAGAAGAGGAGAAGAGGAAGAGAGAGAAGAGGAAGAGAGAGAGAAGAGGAGAGGGAGAGAGATTATATAGCGAGACTTAATCCTGAGATTATGAAGAATAAGATAAATTTAGCAAGAATAGAGATAAGAAATATAAAAAGACGAAACAAAATCTAAAAAGCATAATAATACAATTAATATCTTATCTCACAAAAGCATTTGCAATGAAAAATATTCGCCAGATAAAAAAAAAAAAATAGAAATAGATAATCTAAGATATGAATATTTTTTTTAAAAAATTATTTCTCTATTCCATTTATCAAAACCTGATGGATAGATTTTAATTCTTAATATTGCAGATGTCAAAGTTCATACGATAAAAAAAAAAAAAAAAAAAAAAAAAAATCCGAAACGAAAATATTTCGAAAGTGTAGCAGATATAATGATTAAAGTATTTTACCATCCAGTAGAAGAAAAGACAAATACTGATAACCATTGGATATAAATGATAAAAAGTGAAAAGAAATCCAAGGAAACATTAATTTCAAAATGGAAAAATACGGACATATATAATATTTTTTAATTCCGAAAAGATGAATAGTTTGCAATAGCAGTAAATACAAAACATTAAAAAAGACGAAATTATTTCTGAAAACTGACCCCGAAAACCCATTTCCAAATTGCGAAACGGTTACCGTATCAATATACAAAACCCTAGAAACCAGGAATAAAATCATGAGGAAAACCTCCAACAAAGAGAATTATATAAGTGTTCTGGATAAGTAAATATGAAGAGAAAATTTTGCCAGACGTCATAGAGTAAAGAAAAAAAGAAATTGAATCAAAATGCATTTATCGTTTGTTTTTATTTTGATGGAGATTATTCAGTGAATCGTACATTCGCTTCGAAGATTTTTCTAACGAAGTCAAACACATCCATATTTTCAAGACAGACCTTCGATCATAAAATGTGCCGATAGTATTTCGTTAAAATCAGCCCAGGCATTTTTAGAAAATTCAAAGTCAATTAGTTATTTATTTATAATTGAATTGTTAATCTGGTTTTGTCTAACACGGGAAACAAATTTTGATTGACTTGTTATTTTACGACTTAACCTTTTGCCGGTATTCTCAAGCACTCACCCATCTTGGTACTGACCAGGCTTGACGTTGCCTTGTCTTCGGTAATCGTACTAGAACAGGTGTTTCGATATCATATGGCTGTAACCCAAAAATAATTTTGTCAAATTGGCAATATATGACTTGTTGAAAAATTGCATTGGTTTCATAAAGAGATAAGTAGGTTTTACCAAAATATCAACTTCATAATTTGGTAATTTAACTGTAGAAAGTTGCAATTTAAATGCATATTCTTGTTTGAAGTTGTTAATCAACGATTAATAGGAAGTTTATCTTGTTGGTTGTAGAATCCTTATGCTTTCTTATTTCTATTTTGCCTATATTGAAATGAAACCAGGAAGTTCTTTTAATATATTTCTGGTTAAAAGATTTGACCATTAAAAGTTAAACAAAACAGAAATAATTATGAATTTAGTTACTTTAATTTAATTTAATTTACACGAAAGATTTTTCTGTAGATTGTCAAATAAGAAGTTTATTGATCATTTAGTAGCGAGAGAGAGAGAAAAGGAGAGAGAGAGAGAGAAAAGGAGAGAGAGAGAGAGAAAAAGGAGAGAGAGAGAGAAAAGGAGAAAAAGAAGACAAAAGAAAAAAAAAAGAGAAAAAAAAGAAAAAAAGAGAAAAAGAAAAAAGAGATCAAAAAAAGAAAAGAAAAAAGAAGAAAAAAGGAAAAGAAAAAGAGATCAAATCTCTCGTCAAGAGTCATGCATTGTATTTTTAAATATATATATAAAAATTAATAGCCTTCTATTTATATAAGTTTTTATATGAACTTAGATTGCCTTAAAAAAGTTCGATATATCAATGCCAATAAAAGATTCATATTTATGTGAATCTTGTTAATTCCGATTCTTACAATTAAACTAACGTGGTTTAAAATTTTTCATTTACTTAGTAACAAAGTTTATATTTTAGATTATAAATATTTAAAATCCGTTTACAGTAAAGATTTTTTTCCTCCAAGTTCCTATGAAGGACGCAAGGTTCTCAGCTTTAAACTCAATATTAGGAATCTTACAATTAATAATATAATGTTATAATCACAGAACACAAAACACATTAGAAATATTCTAATACGGCGTGGAATTTACTTCAGTATTTCCTGACAGCTAATAAGAATATATATATATATATATATATATATATATATATATATATATATATATATATATGACAAATAGTGTGTCTTGTTTTACATTGTAATTTAGCAGATAGCATATATAAGGAAGAGTGAAAGATAAATTTTCATCTTAAATATACGAGACTTCGCTGTTGTCAGTTGGCATTATTATAAATTCCCATTCTGTGATAAAGCAGGAAATTTTAATCGCCGATTAATCTTACTAGGATAAGTTGTATTATAAAAATTAGCAAATTAAATGATTTCATTCACTTTCGATGGCCGATGAATTTATGTCAAAATCTTTTCCATCAAGCTTAAGGTTCGTATCCTTCACCGCCTGTGTCGCAATGTCACTTTTGAAGCTTGGTCTTGTTGGATGCTTACAAGATCTTGGACGACATGGAGACGCGCAGAAATAGATTGTGCATTCAAATTGGATGCTGGTGCTGCCGCGAAGATGGAAAGACTCAAATATCGGACTGTAGAACCATTGGTTGAAGGAAGTGAATCCAATGTCACTAGGAAAAATGACACCGTCGCCACAGCCATCTTTTAAGATCTCATAAGAACGGAATTGGTTGAAAGCAATGCATCTGTCTACCCTCGTGTGAAACATTTCGTGGATATTCTGAAGTCTACCTCGTAATTGAACCTAACAAAAAATATAAATAAGAAATCTGTAAGAAGCAAGTTGCCCCAAACATTAATGGAATTTGAACAGAATTAGCTATTAAATGGTCGTTTCCATGACTATTTCAAAGATGATAGACAGTAAGTATAAAAATGTATATGCTCGAATACAAACAATTTTCTACATAAAACGCGTAAGAAAATGCAATATTCTGGCCTCGTCAGTCACCAAACAGGGAAGGTAACAGTTTCGATGTCTAAGGCGGTATTGTCACCCATGTTTCCAGCAGCAACTTTTGCTACCAGACAGGAAATTGTTTTTTTGTTTAGACGTGTCAGCCTCTGCATTTTTATTTTTCAACTGCAAGATAGCTTGCAATTGAATAATAAAAATCGCAGAGATTTTCAATGTTGTGTTAAAAGCGTTTGTTCGTTAACCAATAAAAAACACGCTCGATGCGACCAATGATGTAGAATGGAAGGTAAACAGATGTGCTTCACGTCGGAAGTAGCGTTGTCTTTGTGTATTTTGGACAGGTTTAATTCGATGCCTGATGAGCCGTGGAGTGAAAACGATAAGACGAACTCATCAGGCACCGGCCAGTGATGGTCATTTTCAAAAGGAAAGGAACGATGGGCCATTCAAGAATCCACAGAATCAATAGGTAGCACATGACTTGTCCATCCGTTTTCCAAGCAGTGGCTTTTCTTTCATCCGTGCGCCTATATATATATATATATATATATAAAACTTTTAAATATCGTTTTTTGTTTTCCCCGATTTCGTAGTTTCTTCAGTGGGTTTTGGTTTTAAATGTTTCCAATTCGTTCCGCGTCTTTTTCAATCCATTTTTTACTCAGTCTTGTACACGCACACTTTTCATGAAGTTTTGCATTTCTATACGTAGGTACCTTCTTGAGATCGCTAAAAAAAAGAGCAAAGCATGATGAAAAAGACACCAAACTTGACGAAAACAAAAATGTATCGTCTAAATGTTTATGTTATTATGAAGAGGAAAGAGCAAAGTTTATTTTAATTATTTAAAAAAAAAAAAAAAAAAAAAAAATTCCTTTTTAGAACATTCTAAATTTTGAATAAAGAATAAACCTTGTTTCTCTGTGCCACTGGAACTAGTAAAATAGACAATTTTTAGCACGTTTTTCTTTTGTATGAAACGCATGAATTTGGAAAATCTTGCAAAAAAAAAATTGTTTGATGTTAATGAATCTATCAGAAACTATTCACAGATCATCGAAATTATTATAAATGATTTTTTCTTAAATTCATGGCAGAGATATTTTTTTTATATTTATTACCCCACCCATAATTAATTTTATGAAAACTCTAGAAATTCGGTCGATTCCACTTTAGTGATTACAATAGTTAAAAGCACAAGGCTTTGAGGAATACGAATCATTTTTTTTTTGTTTTTAATTGCACCCCTCTACCTGAAAATCAGCTCTGAATTGTAACATACAAAACTCAATAAAACAAAGATATTTAATTTCACACACTTTTATTTGCTTTTAGTTGTTTTTATGAATATGGACAATGTTTTTTGAAAGCAAAAAATTTTTTTCGATGGAAAATGAATTTTTAATATGAGTATTTGCAATTTGTTATAATAGATTTTTACATTTAAGTTTCTAAAATATTATAAAATTAGTTAAAAGCCGCATCCACTTTCGTAAGTTACCTTATGAGATAGATCATTTTTAGCGCGTTGTAAATTGTATCGTTTTGACTAATCAGAAGACACGCAGTAATTAAGAAATGTAATTTTGTGTTTATAATCGGGCTCTAATTATACAGTACGGAAGACCAACCAGAATACAATTAAGTTGCGTCATTTGAGTTAAGCATTGTTCTGCGCTGTTAAGTCCTTTACTTTTGTGAAACACGCGTGGAGAAGTTAATTTGATTTTTTATGTTCAACTTAGAAGGGTACCAAACAAATATCAGTTAAGCTTGGTTCAAAATATTTTAAATAAACTTTATAATTTCTGATTTTCTTAAAATAAGTTTTGAAAAAAATGATAATTGATTTTTAAAAGAATTTCAAACCGAGATTTTTTTTTTATAAAATGGAAAAAAATGCCATGATCGATTATCTGACAATTTTGCTGATAAAAAGATTTTTAACGAAAATTTCGGACGTGTTAGGAACGATTGAAAAATGTAAAAAAAAAAAAAAAAAAAATACTCCCAAAATACTTTGATCTTTCCTCTTAATAATAACATTTCGAGGATAAGATTTTGTTTCCGTCAAGTTTGGCATCTTTTTCATCATGCTATGCTCTTTTAGCAATCTCGTGGAGATTGCTATGTATACATCTTCATTTTTATGCTGTACATTTTTCTTCCATTTGTAAATTCTCTTGCTCAGAAATTATTTTTTATGGTATATATAGAAATAATGTTAAAACACTTCCCTAAAAATAGACTCATCAAAAGTCATTAAAAAAATACAATACAAAATCAACTATAGTTGTATGAATAATATAGAGAAAAATAAATAACCGTAATAACAATTATTAGATAAAAACAATAGCAATTATAACACATCCACAAAATAGCAATAATAACTAATTGTCGTAATAAAAATGTGGCCAGTTTATAAATGTTTAACTAATAATATATAAAGAAACTGTATCAAATAATTGTAACACAGAAGAAAGAGATTTACATAGGAGTAACGGAAACCACTATTAAAGAAAGTTAATTTTATGATAATTAAAATAGACAAATAAGCGAATAACACAACATTATCAAAATAGGTATGGAGGCAAAACAACATAATTAAATGGGAAATTATGAAAAACGTACCCCATATATTATCAATAGGTATTGTAGATTGTGTTTAGAAGAAAAATTATCAATATTAATTTTTAATAATCAAATTATTAAATAAGAAGGTTGAAATGATGGTTCGATGCCGATATATTAAATATTTGTTTTGTTACTTTAATAAAACATTAAATCAATTGAAATATTAATAAATACAAGTAAAACAAAATATCACAATTTAATTAATAATATAACTTCTATATTAACCATGAAAATATTTCGAAAACAAATTTACTTTACAAGAAAAATTATTATTTTTTTTTTTTTTTTTTAAAGCATTTCACCCCAAGCAAGGCGAGAAGCCACTAGGACGCAAGGGGTTACAGAAAATTTAGAGCAAGATCTGGTAGGGGTGATAGAAGAAAGGATGAGGAGAGGAGAAGAGTAGTGGATAGATCAAGGCAACTGGAGATGTCGATTGATATTATATTTGAATAGCTGGAGATTATAGCTCTTAGGGAAACTGGAATAGGGAAGGGAGTTCCACAGGCGAGAGGTGCGAGACATGAAGCTATTAGAGTAGAAGAGACGGCTACATTTAGGAGTTTCGACAGTAAAGGGTGAGAGCGGGATGCCAGCCTCGTAAGGCGCTGGAACTCGTCATGAGTTCCAGCGCCTTACGAGGCTGGCATCCCAGCGAATGCAGCTCCTCGGAGCAATTTCCATGAAAGTATTTGTAGAACAGACAGAGGGAGGCGACGGCGCGTCTGTGAGAAAGTGACTGTAGACGAGACGCCAGGGCAGGGCCAACTACATTGCATATCCCCCTCTGGAGCCTATCAAGAACCCCGAGGCAAACAGAAGGGGCACCAGACCATATATGGCAGCAATATTCCATGCAAGGGCGAATTGTGGATTTGTAGATCTGGAAGATCGACTCCGGGGAGAAAAACTTCCTGGCGCGGCTCAGGGAGCCAATTGATTGGAAACATTTAAAACTAGGAGTCCCCTGAAGAAGAGAATTTAACCAAGAAACTTCAAAGTTGGGTAAGACAAAAACAACAACAAAAAAAACTGATATTTAAAAATTATATATATATATATATATATATATATATATATAGCTGAAGAAATACCTCAATTTTAGGACATTAGTGACAATGGTATCTTCATCTGCCTAATGTTTGACTATTATGTGAAATGTATTTTTGCCGAAGCCATATTATATATATATATATGCATGAAACTTACTGCGATAAAAACTTTCAGGCATTATACAAACATGCTTAATAATTGCATCTCACACAGGCAAACAGATCATTAAACACATGCATTATTCTATGAGAGAAACTTAGATGCATTATACATGCACACGGGCAACCATGTGAAAACCCACAATGATTTATAATACTTAAAAACGATTCGTATCATAACAAATATAAAATCCTGTTAAATAAAACGAGGTTATATCGAGAGAAAAAAACCCACAAAAAAACAAGAAAACTCCAAATTGAAATAGCCACCTTCAAGCCGAGAGGAAGAATTCCAGTAATAATTTCAGAATTCAGTTTGATGACCTCCATTTTGATGACGCATTTCTTTTTTTCTCCCATGTCATTAACAATTCTTCTCAGGGTAGAGCTCGGGAATCTCACATTCAGTGACCTTGTCCGAGCTTTGGCGAAAGGGCGATATGTGCAAATCACAGCAAATCTCTTCTTTGGCTGATACAAGATTGGAATGTAGCGTCTTGAAACAATCACTTCAACTTGGTAGGTTTCATACTTGGGAAACTGAAACGAGAAAATAGGAAACAGAGAGAATATTATAAGAATGACGCATTGATAACAAACAACTGAAGACACGATGTATTAAAAAAATAAATTAAAAAATATAAATGTCCCCGCAATTTTAATCAAGTACAGAGTGGTTCAAAAGTAGGGATACAGTTGTTTCACTATTTGTTTCACATTTTAGATCTAATATATCCAAATCATTGATCACATGCCCTTTATGCTTCGGCAGTAAAGAACAACCTTAATCAAACCTTTCCAATGCGCTGGTTCGGAAGAAGCGGGCAGCATTGAATAACCACCACGTTCACTTGACATAACACCAATGGATTTCTTTTTGGGGGGTTGTAGAAAAGAACCATTTTTTTTCTTAATCTCTGAAGTATTTATTGAAATAGATGCAGATTGGGATTTATGTCGTGTTGTGTGTCAGTGTTCTGCAGAGGTTCGAAGAATGTTGGAATTTTGAAGGAGGGCCTTTAAAGCACTTAAGAGATTAAACTGTGTTAAGAAAAAAGTAAGCAAACTGTTGCGATTGGCCCAGTGAATAAAAGCGTTGGTTGAAATAATACAAAAGAGACGTGACCCAAATAGTTCAATAACTGGCCACAGCAGAGGTGAGAAAAAACAAAAAAAAAACAAACTTGGACTTGAGTTACTAAACGAAAATAACTGAAACAGGAATATCCAGAAAAGGTGTGGCACGTGGAACTAGAACAATCTTCCCCGAAATACGAAAAAGGGTTCGTTTCGAAATTCCAACGTATATCACCTAAAGAAGGCCGGCGCTTAGAACAGGCGAAACGTCGTGTATATGACGAAGATTAAGACACCGAGCTGTACAATGTAAAAAGAGTAAAGCTGTTGAAGTTTTGAAATGTCTAATATTTAAAGATTTTTAACAAAAATAAAAACTATCTACGTTAGGAATATCAAAAAATTCATATCCCATCCTAAGAATTATTGAATAATTATATAACTTTAAAAAAGAACAACGATAAAGCAAGAATAAGATAATTAAAATGTAACTGCCGAAATAATATGAACTGTCCTTTAAACGGCCAATGTTTGACTAATAATATTGTTTACAGAGCTAGCATACAATCTGATGAACAGATTTTACATTATCTCAACTGAAACGTAAGGGGAAACTGATTTTATAAATCAAACTAAGTTGAAGTAACGATAAATGCAAAAATACTGTTCTAAATTTTACCGGCTATTAATTGATGGCGTAACTATACCAAAACTTACGTGGGAAATAATGGTTAGAACTAAATCTTACAATGGTAAAAAGTGAAAGACGTAAACATTACTTTTGGTTTGGTTTATTTTGTTTACAGCATATCAACCTCAATGGGTTATTTAATGCCGACAACATTTTTAGGACAGATTCGTATGAATACAATATGTATTCTTTGTTTTAGATTGGTTTGGTTTATTTTGTCTTACGGCATATCAACCTCAATGGATTATTTAATGCTGACAAAATTTTTATTGCTGGTAATATATTTCCTTCAATTGTATTGCTGGTAATAGTTGACTATTTGCCCATGGCTGGGACCCTAACAGGTGCTACCAGCCCGATTCAGGGTGGACCTGAGAACCTCAGCATTTAAGAGGTGGTTCCACGCTCCTCAAAACATCCTGATCAGAGGCCTTGTTGCTGGACGTAGTTTAACGTCTTACATATGACGCAGATGTAGTTTAACGTCTTATCCAGGACGAAGATTAAGGGAGGGGGGAAACTATTTACCCATAGCTGGGACCGGGTGCTATTAGCGCAGGTCAGGGTGGACATGGGAACAACAGCAACTTAGATGTTCCACGCTCCTCAAAACCTGATCAGAAGCTTTGCTGCTGGATGCAGTTTATCGTCATACCCAGGACAAAAACATTACTTTTAAGAAAAAATACCGCCCTAAAATTAAAATATATATAAGCCTTATTAAACAAATGTATTAATGGTCACATGTAGATAAAAATATATACTGAAAATCGTTGAACTAGATTGAAGTCAATTCATATATCCTTTTTACTTTGTTTAATATATATATCTATTTACCTTACGTTCAGATTTACATGAATGAATATGTTTACTTGTATGTATAGGCATATTTTTTTATTTGCTTGCATTAATGTTCTTTATTTGGTATGTATATTTAGTCATTTCCTTTAGATAAGATGTAAAGTTTCAGAAAAGTACATTTAATGTTTGGAAGATTTTTTAAATGAATTATATTAAATGTGACGGAAGGCTAAAAAAAAAAAAAACATTGAGTAATTTCAAAAAATCTCCTTACAATCAATTTAAATTAGTTTTTTTTAATACAGCAAATTTTGCTTATTGATAATTTTAAATTTAATCTACTAGTTCGAAATTAAAACTGAAATGAAACCTTCAAGAAATATTTTTCAAAATTCATTTCAAACCTTAAATATGGCGAATCTATGGTGACATTAAATTGTATAAATACAAATCTATGATTGTATATTAATCGGTGTACATGTATATATTGATATTAGTATGTACATTTACATGCATATATAGGTAACTACTTTATTATCCCCGTAAATAAACGGACTGCTTCAATATCATTACAGTACTATAGATAAATTATTCAACGGTCAATTTACAATCAGCACCTGACAATTTTATATATATATATATATATATATATATATATATATATATATCGTAGTTTGATAAAAATTAATATTTTGTACGAGAAAATTGTACTTCCAAATATGGCAAATATAGAATAAGCCAAAAATCTTAAGGCAGTATGTCAAACAATATGATGCTGTAAATTTGCAAACTATTTCGAGGCAGAATAAAAGAGAAGCGCTAAACAAATTCAAACTATTTTACCAGCGTCGCAAACCGGAAATTAAAAAGATCTCGTTTGTCCGAGATTTCACTATAGCATTTTTAAGCACAAAAATGTATTTGTTATATCTTTATTTTTTTGCTTTTTAGAAATATAAATGTTTATTTGAAAATGCATATACAAGGAAGGATTTTACCATACAATGTTTCTGTCTCGTTTTCTTCTAATTATAATATATATAGCTTCTTTTTTTTTTTTCGTTGCTGTGAGTAGATGGTTGGAAAGATATGAAACTATTTTTCAATTTGCATTTGTCACGTACTCGAGTTGTGGTTAATTTTTCTTTTTTGGGTTTTGCACAAATGTACATGTCATTTATTTTTCTGTTATAGGATATAAGATTAGAACCTTTTGTATTTCTTGGCTGCAATAAAAGTATGGTAGCGTGAAAAATAATGTTTACCCAATTGTAAGATTAAAATCAGGTAAATTTATTTGATTTTCCCTCCCTTTTCGGCTCTGATTTATTTTCCGGATAAGATATTTGTAAAAAAGACAGACAGACAAAAGCAAACAAAAAAAAAGACAGACAGACAAAAGCAAACAAAAAAAAAGACAGACAGACAAAAGCAAACAAAAAAAAAAGACAGACAAAAGCAAACAAAAAAAAGAAGACAAAAGCAAACAAAAAAAAAGACAGACAGACAAAAGCAAACAAAAAAAAAGACAGACAGACAAAAGCAAACAAAAAAAAAGACAGACAGACAAAAGCAAACAAAAAAAAAGACAGACAGACAAAAGCAAACAAAAAAAAAGACAGACAGACAAAAAACAAAAAAAAGACAGACAAAAAAAAAAACAAAAAAAAGACAGACAACAAAAAAAAAAAAAAAGACAGACAGACAAAAAAAAAAAAAAAAAGACAGACAGACAAAAACAAAGACAGACAAAAAACAAAAAAAAGACAGACAAAAAAGCAAAAAAAAAAAGACAGAAACAAAAAAAAAAGACAGACAAAACAAAAAAAGACAAAACAAAAGACAGACAAAAAAAAGAAAAGACAAAAGCAAAAAAAGACAGACAGAAAAAAACAAAAAAAACAGACAGACAAAAAAACAAAAAAAAAGACAGACAGACAAAAAAAAAAAAAAAGACAGACAAAACAAAAGACAAACAAAAAAAAAAGACAGACAAAAAAAAAAAAAAAAAGACAAAAGACAAAAGCAAACAAAAAAAAACAGACAGACAAAAAACAAAAAAGACAGACAAAAAAAAAAAAAGACAGACAAAAACAAAAAACACAGACAGACAAAAACAAAAAACACAGACAGACAAAAACAAAAAAAGATAAACAAAACAAAAAAAGATAAACAAAACAAAAAAACACAGACAGACAAAACAAAAAACACAAAAGACAAAAAAAAAAAAGACAAACAAACAAAAAACAGAAAACAAACAAAAAACAGACAAACAAACAAAAAAAAACAGACAAAAAAAAAAAAAAAAAAAAGACAAACAAACAAAAAAAAAGACAAACAAAAAAAACAGACAAACAAAAAAACAGACAAACAAAAAGACAAAAAAAAAAAAAAAAAAAGACAAAACAAACAAAAAAAGACAAAAAAAAAAAAAAAAAAAAACCAGTAAAGACAAAAAAAAGACTTATTCAGAAAACAAAAATTCGGCAAAAAAAAGCCCGCAAAAATTACATCCTTATTCAGAAATATATATATATATATATATATATATATATAATATATAACAATCATTTCATTCATATAAGCGAAGGAAATTTGAACACATTCAACAATTGCTGCTTTATACCAGCCATAGTGGGAAGATAAAACGGAGACGGTAAAGACATTGCTGTAGGTGCGGAGAAAGGACAAAAAGTGAGGAAGGGAGCAACGAAAAAAGGTGGCGTAGTCGAGGGCAAACATTGCTGTTTTTAATGCGAGTTCAAATTCCAGTTGGATCCATTACGTGCTAGGGAAAGGTATGAATCCTCTTCTGTCCCCCAGTTATGGGTAAATAGCAGGACAGACCGGATTCTATAGCCTTGGACGGCAACTAATCTACTGCAAAAAAAAAAAAAAAAAGTCATGTATCGAAAAATACAAGATTTCCGAGGCGTGTATCACGCATGTCACGTAACTGACTGAAAGTGCA